ACAATTGGTTTGAGGATCGGAGTGTGTTTGGTTAATTGGATCTAACTCTATGTAGATTATGTAATATTTGACCCAGACCATTTCGCTGATAACTGCACACCGCCTCGTGTCATCTCGACTGACCGCTCTCCACACGGTTGCAAGTTCTAACCCCTCTACTCTATTTACGCTGGGATGCTTGGCGATTTCCACCGCCTCGGTCACCAGTCGCTTTGGTGTGAATCTTAAACGTCGCCCCAGGATGTCACCCAGCACTAATCAAGTCGGCCAGTCATAAGAAATCCCACGGGTAGGTTCCCTGACTGTCCTAAAACACAATCAACCCACTTACTCACTTGGCCTGACAAGGCTTTTGTGTCAAAAGCGTAACGTTGCTCAGCAAAAAACCCACCGATCACCTATTGTAAACCTCTCTGGAACAAATTCGAACGTCTTTGAGTTACGTAGAAAAACTGAAAATTCATTCCTCTCTTGTCCTACACGGCAAGGTGTCTGCTTCTCGTTTGACGAGTTGAGAAACGAAAACCTCAGTTATCCGCACAATTTTCAAAACTGACTGTGCAGTCATGACAAAATGTCACACAAAATCAGCGGTAGTCGCACCACAGAACGTTTGCACCAGGAGGTTAAGGTTACGTGCCCTTTAGTGATACAATCTAAAGGACATGAAGAATCGTGTTCGTATGCTAATCCAGGTCACCTCAGTCGATCGAACTGTGCAGACAATCATGTTTACAATGCTCAGTCACTGTTCATGCCAAGTTGTCGGCACCAAATAGCTTGACATGAATGACAACAGAAAACACCTAATATGGCCTATAGGTGAGCATAAAAATTATTCAACTCCAAACTGGGAGCAGATACAAATCACCGGTCTTTTATGAGCAGGCAAGATGTCCCCCACTAGTCGAACCACAGCAACTATTCCCTTCAAGGTTGCCGATATGTGTGGTTAAATTTCATTTGAGAAGAATATTTCGGTTTCCATCAGTTCTACCCCCTCTTTGTCGAAGTGCAATCCATTGGAACGAAGAGCACGGGTAGGATGACGAAAATGTTATCTGATGTTTCTTGGGATGCTTCTGTGGATGGGAAATCCATCAACACTGAAAAAATTCGGCTGTTTGCTACAATTGTTACGAGAATAAGTGGGAACTTTTTAGCTGTGGTAAGCAGACCTAGACTTTTACTTGGCTATGTAATTACCATGAACATTTGGAAATAACCATTACTTATGTAGTGCGATGTTCTTTTGTGAATTTATGAGGATGACGCCTACATGATCATTTCCGTCCATGAGTCTAGCGTTCACAATAGGAATATTAAGGAAAGTTCAGTAAAAGACGTAATTCTCCATTTTGATGGGTGTGTGCTTGGTATGAGGTAAACAGACGTAAAGAAGCCTCTAAGAGCATTTACAAAACAAAGCTGATGAAACGCTAAATTCCTCCTAGATGGATGGGGGGGGATTTTCCAAAAGACAGCGTATCATCAGTGCGATCAAAAACTCCGCAAACTCAGAAAGGATGAACACCCTCAAACGAAATCAGTAGTTTCCTTTGTGAAAATATACTGCAATATCTAGAACATCGTACCAACTGAATCATGAGGCAGCCTATGAGCAGCACATTCAGTTGACGAACATCATAAACGAGAGATTCAGGTATGTATGCAGCTAAACGGAATAATTTCCAGAGAACGTATACATAATTGGCACCTTTCAAATGGAAGTTGCTTTCTACTTTGATGGGAGGAATAAAGCCTGTGGTTTCCGAACTTTTCAAGATATGGTTTACAGTTTTTATGGAGATTCAGTGAGTTTAAGCCGGTCACTGTTCTCATCAATCAAAAGCTTCACACAAAACAACCAAATCCCGGTTCACAAAAGCACGCCCAAATAATCTGTGGGATTCATAACTACTGATCCAATGATACGGACGATTACGCCACGGCAATCGCACCGGTCTGTTACTCATGAGTTTCCATCGCGCCATCCTGTGTTCAACCTCTTATATTTAATACAGACTGATAATCCTTGTATGCAAATGAATCGATAATCCTTCACATGTGTCTGCTACATTCACCATAAAGCGACAAAATATTCGTCTGTCGCAAAGCAGCAGTAAGAGGACTGCTTTACTAGGAGCCATTCCTCTTCTGCTAGGCAACTCGCTGGTGAAAGAAAAGCCAATTGCACACACTTAAACGAAAGTACCCCAAATGATGTCTAGGGGGGACACACTACTCAGAAGCGCTGAGAGTTCTTCGACAGCCCACAACCGATTTTGCTCATTTTGAGGTTCATCAGGTAAGCAGTCCTAGAGTTTCTGTCAAACTTATATTCCACTTGAACCCCAAATTTGATTATCTAGAAAGGATCGCCATGAGAAGAACTAGCACTGGATTGCTCTGTTTTGTTTGTCAGGTCAAGGAACGCACAGTCCTCTATAATGCGTCATCCTCCTTTAGATTACGTTGGTATCAATCGGTTTACTCAATAGGCTACTCCGCACAATACTCTCACAGGAATGAGGTTCCTGTTTATCAACCGTTCTGCATACGGTCAAACGCATTCGTCTTTTTACGCGAGACAGCCGTCAACAACCATCGTGTTCTCACTACTTGTTCTTGTTCAACTGCTCATGTAATTTTGGGCGCACTGTATGCAGGTGACAGAAATGAGATTGTGGCTGATGTTCATGTAGTAGCACCATGTGAACCGTGTCCTCACGACGCGTTTCATCAAGCCATTGACTGAAAATTCCACTCAGAGGGTTTGTGTCAAAAAGATGAATGCGAGTGTGAAAAGGCAGTCAATAGACTTTATATCACAAAATAATAAAAGACGAGCTGGTATCTGTGAGAGTTATCCGATCCGTCCAAGTGGGATTATGTATGTTCCGATGTCGACGGAACGGACTCCTTCCAGGTTAACGTTTGCTCCCTATTTGCAAACCGAAGGTTATAAGATCATTCTAGTTGCTCGGTAGAGATTCATCAACTCGTCGGTTTTCACCCTCGATCGATTTATACCTTAATTAAACGGTGTGCCCTGAATCAAAATTGGCGAATTTCCAGAACTTAAAGAGTCAGGAATACTTCAGAAAAATGAGTGCCCTATAGTACTGTTCAGTGCAAATTTCTCTTGGTTGGGCGGAAATTCATCATCAGGCCAAAGATCAGGACGTTCGAGTGTTAATTCTGGACAACGGAACATAGTATACGCCTACTTTGCTTCCGGAATCCGTTCCGTACACAAAACCACAATAAACACGCTCTTGACTTATGATCAGCAAACTGAACTTCACAGATACCAGCTAGGATGCAGTGAATCCAAACAGCATTAATGTGCCATCCACCAGTTGACCCGACTAGGTCTGTGGTTACGTAACTTTTCAAACATCACGACTTGCTAAGGGAAACCTCAACAAAAACAAAGTGGCCCACTGTCATGTTGTTGCGAAAACACCGCTTACAAGAATAAATTCAGAAACGTTGAAAGTGATTCGTATAGAAATAGAAAGCTATTTAGCATGAGGCGAGGAAGTGTCCGGAGGACAACTTTGGCGCTTGCCGACGTGAACGTTATCAGCCAATAGAAATGAGGCTGACCGGAACAAGGTCACATGATCGTGTGGGCGTAGCTGAATCGCCTGCGCGTATTGTGACAAGCCGAGGAAAGATGATGAAATCAACCGTCACTGTAACGCGTAGGTGAATGGCAGCCGGTGTGGGAGGAAATCAGTTAAAAAAAAATTTAAAACCTGGAGAACACAATAAGCAGTGGGGTCAGACGTTGCAAAATGATTGACCAAACATTTCAAAAGTCCGATATGGTGCGGTTGATTGTGTTACCGTGTCAGCCTATTGTTCCAAGTCAACTGATATCACTTCGACACTAAACTAAATATAGATGTGTGAAAAATCTGAGACTCATTTCCGACAGAATAAAGGACGTGGCTAGGCCATATGCTCCGTATACAAGATGACCGATTGCCTCGCTGTACCCTGTTTGCTGGAACATGTTCCGACCGGAAGATACCACAAGATAGACAACGCATGACGTGGAGAAGGAGCATGAGAAACATAACAAAGGGCTTTGACTGCACTGCTGCACGTCGTTTGCAAGGTCGGAGTGCCGGAGACTCACCACACCAGTTGTTAGGGGCACTGATCAACACGGTGATTTTGCGCAAACAGTGGCGATGTGATATACGTTGGTTTATTATTAATCACTAACCCACCGTTCAATTTTAATTTCTTTTCCGGCAGTCTCCCTATCCTACTCTACTAGCTACCGTACGTCGCGACTAACCGAAAAACCGTGCAGACGCACACGGTTGTCAAACTGAACTAAACTCGGAGTGTATTGCACGTCACAGGAGGAATGGCACTGCTGACGGGTGTTAGGCTTTTCTTTCTGGTGCAGTTCCCGTAACACATAAATATGGTCTGTGACGAATACTTGCCGAAAAAGGGCTATAGTTCCACATAGGTGAGATCCATAATCAAAACAAGTGAATGTATGCAAGTTTCTGTACATTCCCAGGATGGTGAGCCCGTCTCACTGTGTTATACGACTGCAGTGAAAAGACTATTGACCTCAAAGAATTTTTGTTCAGACAAATGAGGGAAACGACAAATCATATTGAAACGCAACAGAGTTACTTGACTTCGTCCAACTTCTTGTACTTCAGCTACTCACCTTGGTTGGCCTTGGTGTAACGGGAGCCGATAGGACGATTGAAAGCTAATTCATTTACTTCATAAATCTGCACTTGATGAGCGACTAACATTCGCGAACTAGAATTAAACTGCCTGGTCAACTTATAAATATGCAAATGTTCTTTTTCAGTAGGTCAAATAATCGGTACCTTTGGGGATATCGAATGACTCTCCCACTCTCCCGCGTTCAAATATGTCATTATCAGCTTGTTCGCAACAAGAGCGTTAGTTAGATTTGTTGGTTGAATCCAAATGTACACAAGCAAAAGAGACGGCACCGATTGACGAAATATATTACAATGAATGAGTCTTTGGTAGATTACATGCGCTCAACGGTTCTCAGTCCGAGTATATCAAACCCGCATTTCATCACCTTGGCAGTTGCCTCACATAACATTAGGCGACCGGTGTTCACTCGAAGTATGGCACCTGACAAGAAATAAGACAGCGTACAAAGTAGACATTAGTTGAAGGACGAAATGGTGAATGAGTTAGCTTTCCAAGACGGTCGACAAGAACCAAATGACTGCGCACTACATGAAGAGTGAAAATCATCCGTCATTACTAAAAAAGCAACGTGAAGCATGACTCCCTAAATGATACATCGAAATACCACACATAAAGTGATAATCCAGGCTTCTAAGAAGGAAGAAAAATAAAAAGAGACATTCATACACACTACAAGTCCAGAAAGGGCATACTTAATATATGTATATGCTGAAGCTTAAGCTTGTTACTGTGCAGCCAGGGAATTTTACCACCCAACTGAGAATCCTGTTCTTTTCAAACTTAGTACACGACAGGTATCATTCATTCAAGTGGTTATATGGCATACTGAAATCGCTTCGAGCAACGACCATAAAGCACAACCTCCGTGACACTTTATATTTCCAATGTTTCAGGCAAAACGACGTTATCCCTATAGGTAGCTTAACGTTTGCCAACCTACCGTTTTTGTACACTGAGCAGTACACAGCGGTTGTGACTGAACTTCGTCAGACAAGTTTTTCCGCTATATAAGTTGAAGGAACCAGCCTTACGATGTACGTGGAGCTTTAAATTCCTGCTCAACCTCGAAGTTTACAGACAAGTAGACAGAGAGGGGGTGAGATCCACTTTTGGACCAGTCTTCGTGGACCTTTCGACCTGTAGAAAAGATGTGAATTCTCCAGCTGTAGCACCCTTTCGATGTTCAGCTGCCATGCCACCGGAAGGAAGCACGAGGGCTGAGATACCACCGGGTTGCCCAAGCCTGGACTCATGCCTTCTTTCCAAAGACAGTCCCACTATTGAAACACTGGTAAGAAGGCATAAAAACCAGCTAAGAAATATTCTTCACAGTCCGTGTACATAAGTCCCTTACAAGCCGTCCACTAGTCACAAGAGAAAGACAGACTGTCCCGTCAGATCACGTCAGTGTGTATATGTCAATTTGCCTACAACATGGAGCCAGCTGCCCTGGTGGAACAACAACACAACTGTACAAATGAATGTCTGAGCATCTCCTAGCTGGCCTCCACAAAAGGCAATATTGCCAGGTCCGTTTAACCCAATTAACTGGAAACGTAACACGACGTCAACATTGCAGCGACATCAATCTACAAAGACTTCCAAAGGTCTCTCAGAACTAAGATCCTGGCCACTACAGAAATCATCAACACAAGAACTGACCGCCTGAACTTTGCATTCAAAAAGGTGCTAGGACCCATGAGGTTGTTAACTGTTGGATTTTAACCCGACTGAGAATGTTTTACATCCCATCGATTTTATTATGTCCTATAAATATGTACATATATTATAGATGTTCGAATCTGAAGAATAGATACGAAAAAGTACTCTTCACTCGATCCATGTTGTTCAAAAAGGTCTGACCGTCTACGTTTCTCTATACGGTAATATCCTACCCACAGCGTCTCAAAAAGGCTACCACGGCTATCGCTGCATAGGGCAAGGTCGATGGTTGGCCACCCCCTTCCATTACGCAAAGTCGAACACGGTAATTCTAGACACGGATCACCCAACAGAAATACCATCGACCGGTCAGCTGTTGGCTCGGCCACATAATTTGGCAGACAGGCGATAAACAGATCAGGGCTTTCAGCACTTTGGAACCCACTATATAAGCCCGTGAAGGTACTTCTGACAGTGCGTTGGGAAAACTCCATTCCATGCCACTAGCAAGAGTGGTTGTTTCCTTCACCAGAGTGTTGTCGACCTTACTGAGGTGTCCAGTTTGCAGTTCCAGATTATGTACCACGTTGCACCGTATGTTTTATAAAAATAACTTAAAACCGCGACAAGGATGTGGAACAATCACACATGCGCAACAAAACTAATCACCGGTCCAGTTGTTCTTGGATCAAGGACAGATAACGCAACGCCAGATCGAGAAAAATCTCCTAACTTGAACAGAGCATGACACTGTCATTCTGCCATCATCAACGTCAACCATAAATAGTAAAACATAGTGTTTGCGAACCTACCTGTCTCCCGGTCTCGCTCAATGCAATAGCATACGTCGTAGAAACTCGTAAATGTACAACTCAAATCGTACAAATAGTCACACAGTGTGTGCAACAGGAAGTCGTTCTGTATTCGCAGCAGTATGTCCGGAAATCGACAAATTGTTTTGGCTAGTTTCCATTCGGCTGGATGATCCAAAGACAGCGCCTGTTGGTCAGAAAATTTGGCCAGCTGTTCGCTCGTGTACCCGGCGTTTCGAGCGATTGACCTGGAGGATTAGAAAAGTGTATGAGTTTGATGAAGTATGTCCCGAAAATGGAGTAAGAATGACGAGAGGAGCTGAAAGACATCTGAAGTAAGTTACTTGATTCAATAGGCGAGATTACTCAGTGATTAGAGAGTTTACTGACCGGAAGGTCCGTGGTTCGAACCCGACCTCAGCCGCTCGACTTCCTCAGCCTAGGCTTGGGCAACTTGGCAGTATACCAGCCCTCGTGCTTCCCTCGCATAGCATGGCAGTTAGGCACCGGAAGGGTGCTACAGCTCAACATTTTTTTTATTCAATGCTCTTCCATTATAATAGGCCTTCAATGGAACAATTCCCACAAGAATGGAACATTTTTCATGCAGCGGGAATCCTCACTACAAGCAATAACCTAATAAGCACTTCCTGAGGGAAGAATGTAGGAAAACATGTGGCACATATTTGCTGACCTACATTCACTGAGTTGCCGGCAAGGCAATACAAGCAAACATACATCTGTGGGTAGACTTTGTTTTTGCCAGAGATCTGTAGAACACGGCGAAATGAGGTCAGCCAATAGAATAGTTATTATCCCGTAGGTTAATGTTCACAACGTTCCTTTGTTCATGGGAATACTGAGAAATGAGATCAATCAAATCAACAGCCATCACCAGTTGAGGGTAGGCGCTACGCTGGGAGTTGTACAAACCGCGAGTCTTGTTGCAGTGATCCCGGAAGAAGGATAGGTCACATGGAGCAGTGCTGACCATACTATTCACTCTAAGAAAAAACTATCCTTCCAAGATGTCAAATACCCTCAGGGTTTGGAATACTTTCAATTAACCGTTGGTGGTGCAAGTCACAACAGTAACTGTATGAACTAAAGTGGAACTGCACAGGATATCAGAATGACGATTCGTAGAAACGTGTTGGAAATTTGTATTAAAATGCCTCACCTACAAAAAATCAAGTTTTGAAGAAACAGATCTTATTTTTTCTACGCAACTGGAACAATGTCACGCAATAACAACTGTTTGAAGCTACAAGGAGCCGGAGAATCTTGCATGTGACTTGATGTTACAAGTGTGCGGGGAAACCAAACATCTTTGATCATAGTTTCCAATACTAGCCACAAGGTGAATGAAAAATTCGTAAACTCAAGTTGCTTCAAGAACAAGATAATCCGATAAGTAGCATGAGAAGCAAACCAAATGAATTCGGGAAAGACAGCTCTTCTAGACCCGTTCAAATGAGGGGATAACGAACTTGTAACAAAGTAGCGGGAGTTCATTTGCTGGGCAAGCTCTGATCTGTAGTGAACGTACACACGATCGCAGTTCCCCGTAAACGAATCATACTTCGTTCAGCTCTAGCACGCTTTCGGTGCCTAACTGCCACCAGAAGGAAGCACGAAGGCTGGGATACTGCCAGCCCAGACAGAGGAGGTCCAGCCGCAGAGGTCGGATTCGAACCACGGACCTTCCATCCTAATTTCAAAGTCGAGTCAGTCATCCGAGCAGTCACAGTGGCATACACGACTATGACAACACAGCTTCACTCGTAAAAAGTAAGTGTCCCGGTGATGTTTTTTAGTAGTCTAAACTTTTCGATTAATCTATCTAGGCAGTTTGAGACCCAGAAATATATCTAGTTCAAATTGGCGGCATGGAAGCATTATATAATACATTTTCGTCCACCTCATGCTGAAACTTGGCTGCTTATGTGGCGCATATAGGTTTGAATGGGTCTCCTAATCAGCTGTACAAGATCCAAGACACTTTTGTGGTCAGTGAGCGTGCTTCTTGTAAAAAAGCCCACGTTCATCCCACAGGTACAAGTGACAGACAAAACCATTCGGTGCAAGAGAACATGATAAACGAGGAATTCAGATGCGTTCCAGTTGAGTCTCCCGTCAAAACCAAATTGACATGCAAATGAGTGTATTTGTAGAAAACTGGTAACTTTTAACCACACGACTTAAAACATCCCACGCATAGGTAACTAATCGAATGCGCGAAAACAATTACGGTAGGCTATTCAAAAAGGCTCAAGCTCGTGCAGGTATATCTGATATTCCGATTTTGATTATCACCATTGTTTTTGTTATACAAACGGTTCCTCACTAGCTGTAAAGACAATTATATTTCAAGACCGAAAACGAGGGTAACGAATAACAGCATCAATTCGATTTTCCCTACTGTTGTCCGAAAGATAAACAGAAACCCGTGTTTGACAACTATAGATGTGTCGGGAGTGAGTTAATAACAGTTGTTGTTACTCGAGTGCCAGGTTATAGCCTGTTTTCATGAAAATGGATACGGATGCGCAAAACGCTACATAATCAACTAATATTTGTCAGCGTTATACACCCTCAATTGGCAGTCCATTGTTATGGCACATAGCATGATCACATCACCAAAGACGAATGACAATAGGACCTTTAAACTAGCAACATACCTGATGCGCGTGTACGCATATAGCAGGTAAACAGCCGTATTGCCTTTGTCGTCGAGCATCTGGAAGTGTTAGAAACACACGGAATTAACAGAAACAGATTGCTAACGAGAACAAATCCACAAGTTTAAGACTAGGATTTAAGGAAAACTGAAGATAGTACAGTGATTAGATTACTGGGCAAATGTGTGTGAACACCAAACCGAAGGAGAAATAGGTTCCTCCTTCCGGAAGCTCAATTTGACTTTCTCACTGAGTAGTAAAAGGAATTCCAGTTGGGAGAAACAAGAAGATGAATCATGCTGCGTTACAAGCCTATCACAATCTCTATGGAAAGTACCTAATGTTTCAGCTCGTAGCAACTCCAGAAAACTCCAGAGCAAAACCGTAGTTTGCCCTAGAATATATCGCAAGAATACCTCGAGGCTCTCAAAGTAAAGCCTCTACCGATGACGACCGCTACGTTTTGGTCAGATCAGAAGGTTATAGCACGTTGGTTGGGTTTCCAAGTGCACGTTGTGCGTCCCTACAAGCTAGTGAAGATAGAGTTCGCTACAGCCAACAGTTGGTGGAATAACCCACTGAACTCACAATGACTAAGCCTGTCGAGCTTAGCAACGCTTTAAATAAGCGACACAGCCAAGTGATGCAATCGGCTTAGGAGGGGTGAGGCAATAGAAAAGCTTGCGTTGGATCGAAGAGCTGCTGGAGGCTTCGGAACTTAACCATCTAGTTAGTGGTAATAACACACGCAGGTGCCTGTGCTTTGGCTACTTTCCTACTGGGCGTCATCTTACGCACAGCTCAGTGTACAGCTCGAAAAACTAATAGGATACGTGTCTTAACAAATCCGTTCTGTGAAGAATAGGCTACATCAGTTGCTCACCAACTGTCCCACGAAATTCGGTAGCACCAATGTTGCTGTAATCCAACTAACCGAAGATTCTGAATTTTGATTCGGATAGCTCACAGACGTCCCGTTTTAAGCAGTCCGCGGATTAGGAAAGACCAACATCATAAATAAGATACTTGTTCGAAATTCGAAATGCAGAGAGAAAACCGACTTCGATGTACCAGTGTCAACGGAATGACCTGAACTGTACCGACTCTGGGATAGCCGAATCAGTCTTCAAATATAGGAGGATAGGCTTACGGGTTTCCATGCTCCGTTGAATAATCTATTGGGAAACGAGGCGACGAAGCAATCGTTCCCCATGAAGTCTTCATAGAAGCGAAAGGCAAAACGTACCGATTCTTCTATACACGAATGACTGTGGCGGTTTGACCCAAGTCATCGTTTAACGCCTGTTGGTCGACTCCAGTAGCACATAGTCCGTCTTCACTGTATTAATCCATGCTTTCCGTACACCGGCAGAATAGCGAACTATCCCACCTAAACTTATTTGGAACGTTCTTATGTAAGCTATCCTTAAGCCTCTCAGGTAATCCAACGATAAAGCTCCGGCGTGCCGTTGATCTAGAATGACGGGACAAAAGTCCATGAACCATATGTATGCAAGCCATGGTCGTCTCTGGCTTTCAGTGAAGGGTCATAATTTCTACTGGGTATTTCCATGAGTTTCCCCATGTCGCTTTGCTCGAACTGCCTTAAAACATCCACCTCTTATATACGCAGTTTTCATATCGATATAACAGCACGCCTTCTATCAAAATGATCAGTTGAGCACTTTCTCCACTTTCGTTGTATTGATCCCACTACACTGCGTACCAGCGTCATTTCCCACATCTTCGGTAAAACACACGTTGCCGAATCGACCCGGGGTAAGTTTCCAGTTGCAGACACACACAATTGTTCTGATGTTTTCGTGTGATATCTTTGTGAGGTTTCGGGATCACTCCGTGGCTTTGCAGAAACCGTATTGCCGTCTCCTTGTCATGAACGAGAGTTGAAAGCGTCAGAAGGTTCATTCAAGGTTTTACGTCCGAAAGGAGAAAATTTTTCGCACAAAATGAGCCCAGATGCGGATAAGGAATTGTTTTCATCAAAAATAGGTCAAGGAAGTTGAAACTGGCAAAAAGTGGCGGAGCTTAACTTTTTGCACATGTACTTTTTGCATTAGTGACGAGGCTCATCTGCAAAGGGCGGGAGCGTTACATTAGGCTTAGTGCTCCTTGGTCCAAAAAATGATATGTGGAACTGCAGTGAACTTTTCGATTTCAAATGTGAAAAACCTTGGAATCAATGTTAAAGTCAGAACAACGCAACAAACACCGGTGACCTAGGAACATACCTTGTCGAATGAGAAGATATAATCATTTATTCGATTGTGGGATAGATCAGCGTATTTGATGCAACCATAAGCAATCGCTTCTTGGGCAGCTTTGAACTCGTCCTCTGTTAGTTCCTATGGCCACGAAAACAAAAAAGCGACTGTTGTATCAGCACAGTGATGTATGATAATGCTGATTAGATGCCATCAGAGTTCTAGTAATGAAAATTTTTAATCAACCAATCGACCACCATTGACAGATGCATACATTTCAGCCAGTTGGATGACAGGAACTGTAGCAAAAAGGTTGGACGCCCTTCTTGAAGCAGCACATGTTCTGACAGAGGTCGGAACGTTCACAGAAATACTCTAAGTCGAGCCAAGTCACTCAGGGCTTTATGAACCGTAAAGTGAATTTTCGGTATACAAGTCTACAGTATGTATCACGCGTAAACGATCGAATGGGTCGATGAGCTTTCAGAAAATTTACCCGAAATATCCACTAACGAACTTCTGAAAGTACTAGGCGAGACGAGATTTATTACACAGGATAGTAGGAGTACATAGAAAAATGGGCCACAGAATTACGGTAAGCGAGCGATTTGTGGATAAAAGTTTGTACTTGGTGTGAGTGCATCAGATAAACCTGGTGAAGGGTATAATGAATACCGAGTCATAATGCTTACTTAATACGTGCTTAATATGTGCAATCTATCTCGAAGATTCCCAGGAAAGCAATAAGTTCAATGGAAAAGAACAATAGCACCAAAAACCCATGAATAAGATGGAGCGTCCGAAGTCTATAGTATTAAAAGCCACGCCTCGAACCCTACCAAGGACGGCTCGGATAGGGAGTGACCAGCTGAGGTTGATCAACAGGGTCACACACGGCTACTTCACAAGAGAAATTCAGGGGGAAAAGATGGTGAAAACGGTGGGAGCTGATGGCTACTGAGAAGGTTAATTTAAAGTAACGCTAACCTGAGGTGAGGGGAAAGGTAATCTCCTAGCGTTTCTGTTAAGCGCTCCTCTGACCAACCAACAATTTCATTCAGTACAGTTTGTAGTAGTAGACTTGCTTCAGGCATGCGATAGCTGCAGTCAGCTGCCATATCATCAGCGTCGAAAGGGAGAAGGGGAGAAACACCAGTCTGGGGAATGCTGCTGTTAGTCCGTAATTCACGCTTGTAATTTATATAATTTTTAAAGTAGTCATCAATTAGATGAAGCAAGTCGTGCTAACCGCCTGTCAAGCAACTGTTCTCGACCAACGCTATACCGAAAGCACCAGTGAAGTCAATGAGCAAAAGGCCTACAGGTTTATCTTTTGTGGTGGGGTGGACGAGGCATTAGACTAATGTGGAGTGGAAGTGACGATATGTCATCATCATCACAATCATCATCATCATCGACAGCATGACATCAGTGTTCAACACCGATGCTTCACTGCCGTACAACCATGACTTATTTGAAAGCCTTATTGTAAAGAAAAG